ATAGCAACACCTCATGTGTTATTTTATTACGGGGAAACGACAGTCACAGAAAAAATATTTATCTTACAGAAAAAAATCAAGATTTACGGTGGAGGTTTAAATTACAGACCAAAGTAATCCAATTTTCTTCATGCCTTCAAAACATTTTATTCGCCCACAGAATGCTTCATATTAATGAAAATTGAGGCTCTTATACAACACGGCGTTTAATCATGTATACCCATACAAATCAAAGATTTGTTGTGGAATAAAGCAAGTGAGAAATTTGAACATCGAAGTCAAAAGCAACATGATGAAGAAAAGAGAATTTAAATTGAAAAAATTTAAAAATGTCCTTATTGGCCAAAACTGCAGTAACAAATGAAAGTGGTAAAAAACATAGGAATTTTCATTTCTCTTTTCATTATGATCTCTTACCACGTAGTAACGGCTACATCCATCAATTTATTCAATATGACGAAGTTTCTACTAAAGTAATCTATGATTTTTATGTGAAAAATTATCGATTGATACAAATGACTACATAGTTTTAACGGCTGAACACCAAATCCTGAGGAAGAATCAGTGTGTCTACTTAACATTCTTGGGTAGATATTTGTATAAAAATTGTTATGCATTAAAAAAAATCAGAATTTGCCAAGAAAATGAATATTTTGAATAAAAATTTGAAACATTTTTGAAAACATTAGTCTCTTCCAACTTCAACAGACAGTATAGGGCCTGACAAATAACTCTCTAGTTAATAGGCCAGTCATCTCAGTAAGTTCATCCCGGACTTTGAGATATCCAGCTATAAACTCGTATAAACTTATTTTTTGACATCCTAAAAGTTGTCTCAAGATCTACATATAATAGGATGTGTGTACACACCCTACTATTAAAATCTATGGTCAAAGGTCATAGAAATCTATTTTTTCCACATTTTTTGCAAATATCTCCTTTTCTATGGGTTTTTCGCTATTTTTACTTGTTATCAATATTGTAGAGGGTGAAACTCCTTAGAACTTTTGTTTCAATTTTTTTGTCATACGTTGAATCATTTAAGGTCAATCGGTAGTCCCGATCAAAAACACCTCATATAAAGTTTATTAATTATTGATATTGTGTTTTTACCACTTTTATTTGTAACTAAAGTTACTGCAGTTTCGTTCTACAAGGACATTTTCAGTCTTATACATTCATACATACATTTTAATGTATAAGTAGTAAAAATGTATAAAGTAGTAAAAACATAGAAAGGTTTAATTCCTTTTTCTTCATTATGATATCCTACCACGTAGTGAAGGCTACATCTATAATTTTATTTATGATTGTGGAAATTTAAAAAAAGTAATAGAAATTACAAGAAATACAATTACAACTTTAATTATCTTCTTCAACGTCGTCTTCCGACCGCTGTAGTATTTCAAGGTCCTCTTCTTCACAGTCTTCAACGACATTTGTCTCCAGGTCTTCCTTTGACTGTGTGTGGCATGAGGGTTTGCTGGCCAAACTTCTATACTATGGCTTGTCGAATCATTTTTGTGTATGGCTCTTCATCTTCCTGAAAAAACGTTCTATTTAAGTGGCCGTCGATGGATATCTCTCGAATACTTTCATCATCAACGCTGGTGTTCCCCAGGGATCCATATTGCCCCAACCCACTTTTTATTGTATATCAACGACTTATTGGAAAAGATCAAGAATCCAATATAGTGCTTTAATGACGGCAGTACACTTGTTTCGTCATTCCACTTGGATTACAGGACATCGGCACATCTTCCCCGGCAGCAGGAGATTGCATATCTTAATGAGGATCTAGAAGTGATTTCGAATTTGGGTGAAAGTAACCAGGTTCAATTCAATGCCACAAAAAAACAGGCATAGGTTTTCTCCAAGAAGATAATTGTCCCGAACCGGATAATAATAATGTCAGGTCAGCCAATTCCTCTTTCTGCTTCGATAAGTTTGTTGGGGGTTAAAATGGACACCAATATGTCTCGGCACAATCATGTCGCTGGAATTGCAAAGGCTGCTTCTCAAAAACTTGGAACAATGTTCCGAACCAGAAAACTGTACACACCTCAGCAACTTTTGATGCTTTATAAAGCTCAGGTCAGACCTTCTTTGGAGTATTTTTCTCATGTATGGAGCTCTGCCTCCCAAACATACCCTGAATCTGCTTCGAAATACTTACCTAGTTGACGATAATAATTGACCATCGACTGGACCATAATAATATGACGAGCACTCTGAATTCTTACAGATGCTTCTCGTTTGTTTAGCAAAAATCAGTCGAGTGATCGGTTTTCGAGTCTTTCTTCCTCAACAAGGAAACTAGCTCAAATGTCTGCCTAATAAGAAACAGTTTTTTCATGAATGCAATTATTAAAATATTCATTTTCCCTGTTCTACTCCTGTTCGGTTTTCCAAACGGAAAAATGATTTTGTTCCAGTCATCCACTTAACCGAAAAGTGCAAGGTAAGTATCGCCTTTTGTATTGCTTTCGAAATCGATTAGATTTTTTTTGAAACAAACGTTATTTTCCGAAGTGAAATAGGGTCGGTTATTGACATTCTAGCTATGATTAATTGCTCTGGATCTAGCGTGCATTTATCATTCCTCCAAAGTCATTACACGGTCGAAGTAGCATTTAACTGAATATCACTTTAATGCACTTGCCGGGTGACTTTGTGGTCGCTTTAATATTTCGTAAGAGCTTCGAACAGAAAATATTGCAATAAATTGTGTTTTAATGCATCGCCTCAAATTATACCTTTCGACATCTGAACACAAAACCTTGGTCTTGTATTTCGCTAATTGTTTTGTCCTAATATTACTCAACTCGATATTTTCTATGACTTGATACACATATTGTTCGTTTGTGGTGATTACGGTTGCTTCACCCGTGACAAAGAAAAGGTCCCGGGAGGCCAAATCTGGTGAATATGATGGCTGAGGTATGATTATGGTGTTGTCTTTGCCCAAGAAGGCAATGGCGAGTACCATGAATCGTTTTTGCACAATATCGGACTTTTTCTTCGTATTGCTTCTTGCAAGCGGCGCATAATTTCGAAATAATACTTCTTATTGACCTTATGACCATGTGGCAAGACCTCCTGATGCACTACGCCACAGTAATCGAAAAAAAACAGTGAGCCAAACCTTGACATACGTACTGAAGTACGTGGTCGGGAAATTTGAAGTTGATTCTTTCGAAATCGTATATTTCACATTTTAGTAATGCTCTGCTATGTCTGCTTGAAATCTATAGAGAAAATCCACGATAATAATCAGTTAGTGACCTTCAATACAGACATTAATTATCTTTCCCTGCAAACACTATTAACTTCACGTTAATTAATTAGTTGAGTGTCGAAATTTTATTATATTTTGCTGTTTCCAATATTCACCCTTGCTTAAAAAGGGTATCCACTTCTGGTTGAAAACTTCAGACAATTTGTTGAAGTAACGGTTTTCGACTGTGTCTCTGACAACATTCTTGTAACAATATTATTCCACCATGAAGAGAGAAATTCTTTTTTTTGAGTTTTTTTTGAAGTTGTATTCGACTGAGAAGCAACAATATATCTTAGGTAATAAGGTAAGTAGTATATCGTTAGCTTAAAATACATACGGAGTACCTCAAGATTCAGACCTGGGACCAGTTTTATTCATCGTTTACACACTTATGATGCACTGTTTCGAACCTTTGGTGTAGTAATGAATATTACTAATGGAATATTACACGTGTTTCGTTCAACAAGTGATCATCTTCAAAGAGGAAGATTAAAAATAGAAAATAACGCGAAGCTAACCCTATGTATGCTATATAGATATCCCATACAGGTAAACCATCCAGGTCTACCACCCATACAGGTATATCAATCTAAATTAATTTTACAATTTTGCCTTATCTATTATTTTACAATATATGCTTAACTGTTATAGCTGTATATAAAACAATTTTCAGCTATATAAAAAGTAATTTCACAATATTGCCTATCCAAATTTATTNTAGGAATCACACGTTAAAAGGTAAGACCTCGTTAGTCCTTAGCTCGCACAAGTTTCTCAACTTCTGAGTGTTGTTGTTCGTAGGGGGGGCGACAGCTGATTAACGGAAAAACAGATTTTAAAACAGAAGTATTCAATTTCAAATGAATTAACTCTATACATAGATGTGTAAACACAAACTGAAAAACAAACCCTTCTGAAGCAGCCACTTTCATATAAACATTGAATTACACGGAAGAAAAATTCTTTCGAAACTATTATATGAAAACTGAATTACACAAAAAACACTTTTCTCTACTCAGTTTGTATTCCAAACATTCTTTATGGAATTGAATCAGATATCATTCACATAATTCCTACACATTATACTAAATGAAAGGTAAAATTTTCACTTACATGGAACGCCGTCATCCTCACTGGTAGACACGATGTTTCGTTGTAAGACACTTGCCTTAGGGCTCTTCAGTACAAATCTGTACAGAGTTAATTCCTTTGAAATTGATCGCTTTCTTCCTTTCTCTGGAAGATTCCCACATTTTTTCATCAAGGCGAAGTAGTAGAGAGCCAAATTCCTTTCCCAAACTCTTATAACTCTTTTAATTAAAGCTCTCATATCATAATGAAGGTCTGGAGATGACAGAAACCAAATAGAATTTAATCAAGCTTCAGTGTTCTTTAAGAAGGTGAATGTGATGAAATTGGATGCCATGTCAGTCAACTTCTCAAACTAGAGGTTCAAGTTCTACCCTCCACTTTGAGACCTCTGTTTATTATTACTAGTTAATGTTTAAGAGACGATATTCGAATAGTTTTCAGAGTTTCAGCTCTTGTACCATGAAGTCCAAAACTCTTTTTGAATGCTTCACTCTCCACTTGTAATCACAAGAGTGGCATGAAAAGTAAAATAGATTTCTGCTATGTAGAATGCCCTGTTTTGTAATAGTTTTCGAAAACGTGATCATTCATAGTTCATATAATTCTCAAAGCCGTTTTTCCCTTCCAGGCCCAAGCGATAAACAATGCCGTCGCAGCAGCAGCAGCCTCCACATCTTTGACGACGGCGGGGTTTTGGCACCCTTGCATAAGGCCCGAAATAACCGGAACTGCCCGGACTTTTGCCACGATGAGGACGCAACAGCCTGGCTCTCTTCCCGACTACCAAGTCGATCCCTACGTGATACTGGAAGACGACCTCAAAGACGTTTACGACTACATCAGAAATGTAAGTATGTTGGAACGGCCCCTTAACGGAACCATGGAACACTCCACATTGGTTTATTTAGGAAGATAGTTCTCCGGCATACCGGTCTTGATTGTTAGTTATGTTTTAATATGTCGCATCCGTTTGTCTTTTCCTTGACCGACATCCTCACGTGTTTGTCCCAGTTGAAAATACTTAACGATCGTAAAGAATACACTGATGACACTTTTTAGTGTCTATTTAAGAAATGTTTACTCTCCCGGGTAATTTGCTTAGCGTAACGAAGTTGTAATAATTTTCACCTTGGTTTGGAGTGTGCTTGCTCACTTTGTTAGCACAAACTACCATGAAGTTTTTATTTCTTTTTGAATAGGTTTGTGCCGTATAGGCGAAATGACTATGCCATTGTGTTGATGTTCTGGAAGTATATTTGATAGAAAATAATCATAGATACTGAAAGGATACTACATTAATTAAAATAAATTTTCAGTGATACGAAACATACAGTTTATTGAGAGGTGAAGAAAAGAATGCACAACGTGGCAAAAATAGCTTAAATAATGGCAAACGTTCAGTAGTCATTATTGAAAACATTAGAATGTAAGAGATAGATTTAAATAAAATGATGTCGATACGAAACATTTTTTAAAGGAGAAAACACAAGTATTCGACACGTGTATCGATCACCAAGTGATCATCTTCAAGAGGAAGATCAAACACAAGTTTTATCTTCCTCTGGAACTCGCGTTCAATCTATTCCCAAAAATTCCCTATTCCCAAATAACTGTAGACCAGTCGCTTTGCTATCAGTGATATCAAAAATCATGGAGAAAGTCGTAAACCACCATATCCTCAAATATTTGGAAGGCTTCAACATCTTGAGCGATCATCAATATGGCTTTCTAACACAAAGATCAACAGGCGACCTTCTATCGTATGTCACTCATATTTGGAATAACGCCATCGAGCAACATGGAGAATCAAGAGCTGTTCCGCGGCTTTTGCACGTGGCGGCATGAGGGTTTGCTGGTCAAACTTCGAAGCTATGACTTGTCAGATCATTTTTGTGTATGACTCTTTATCTCCCTGAAAAAACGTTCTCTGTAAGTAGCCGTCGATGGATATCTCTCGAATACTTTTACCATCAACGCTGGTGTTCCCCAGGGATCCATATTGTCTCCAATCCTCTTTTTATTTTACAGTGTCACCATNCAGGAATCCAATATATTGCTTTGCTGATGGCAGCACACTTGTCTCGTCATTCCATTTGAATTCCAGGACATCGGCTATGGAGTCACATCTTCACTGGCAACAGGTGGTTGCAAATCTTAATGAGGATCTAAAAGTGATTTCCAATTTGGGGTGAAAGTAATCAGGTCCAATCCAATGCCCAAAAACCCAGGCATCGATTTTCTCCAAGAAGATTAATGTCTCAGAACCGGATATAATAATGTCTGGACAGATAATTCCGCTCTCTGTTTGGATAATTTTGTTGGAGGGTAAAGTGGAGACCAATATGTCTTGGCTCAATTATGCGTCGCTGGAATTGCAAAAGCTGCCTCTCGAAAGCTTGAAGCACTGTTCCAAACCAGAAAACTGTACAAACCTCAGCAGCTGTTGATGCTTTATAAAGCTCAGATCAGACCTTCTAAGGAGTAGTGTTCATATGTATGGAGCTCCGTCCCAAACACACCCTGAAGCTTCTGAATTCCATCCAGAAAAGAGCCATTCGCCTGAGTGGAGACGCGAACATTACTTGCAACTTTGATAGCCTGGAACATCGAAGAAAGGTTGAAGATTTGTCTCTCATCTATATATACTTTTAAAAATACGCGACGGACAGTGGCTGTTCATCGTTTTGAGGTTCAACTCAGTACACCTCGAATTTCACTGTTTAACAACTCTTTCTTTCGGACAACTGCGTTTATAAACTTCCTGAAAACGGTTTTCCAAATGTATTTAATCTCCAGTGCTTGTGCTTGTGTTTTGTCTTTGAAAAAAAAATTATTGATAGGGAGATGTCCAAGTTATTGCCATTTCTTTTTTTTCCGGTTCAATAATTATCCGAAATTGCATTCTAGGCCTTGAGAAGAAATACATTCCAAGATAATTTATACGAAATAGCGACATACTACTTCGATGGACACGGGAAGGCACTGAGGCCCATGGTCGCCATATTGATGGCGAAAGCGATAAATTACCATATGTACAAGGAAAAAAGGTGAGTGATTCGCAGTTTTCTTTAGCTGTCGTGGTATACAGAGATTATTTATTTCACATCAACAAATCTCGGTGAAATTCTCTATAATAATAATAGCGTTTATCGCTCAACAGTTTTTCATTTATAGGGTGAAAATTAACAATTCAATTATACAAATTGTAGCTCTATTTCATTCAGACACGAAAGGAAATGAATTGCATATAGAATAAAAAATAAATAAAAACGAACTATGAATCATCAATTCATAACTCATAAATGTGCAGGAGATTTATTTTTCAGCTCGCGTTTACATGAGGCAGACAGCTGCACATCAAATTCACTGGTGATTTTAATAATCACGTCTAAGAGTTTCGCAAAGTTGCCAAGAACTGAAATATGCCTCAAGTTACGACCCCGAGCTTTATGAATTGGACGAATTTTAGAAATTTTCCAAGTTTCTGGAAAAACTATTTTTTTTTTGAGTACTGATGAACTGACTTGTCCATTTATTCCAAGTTTCCAAAACTCTGCAGCATTCTGAAATGACTAGAACTGGCCGATACTTGATTAAAATCCATATTTAAACTAATTAATACAGTTTTTTGTATGATTTTCACTACAAAGGGTTTTACAAAAACCGCGACACGTGTTTCGCCATACAGTAGCTTATAAAGGTCCTTGATGTTTGTCATCGTCTGCAGCTGAGATCTCCGTTATACATCTCTAGATGTATGTCTCTTAATAGACAGTCTCTAGTCCTGTGTTTATTTGATACGATCCCTGCTCTTAAGGAGTTCATCAGTTCTTTATTTTGCAGTCATGCACCAATAGTTTTGGTACCTTCCTGCCCATATACAGAGTTGATGCTCTGAGAGTCCTGTCCCTCCTTACAGAGGCAACCCATGAATTGTTCTTCAGTTTTCTTTTGCTTTATCGACACTTTCATCATGGTTTCGAGTGAAAAATCTTCCAAACCTCTACGAGTTTCATCTTTTTTTTTCAGAAATCCACGTTCCTTCGTACTTTTTGCATTATTACCCTTTGAAATGACAATGCTATACCCTTCATCTTTTCAGAAAGATGTCCTGAATGTTCAGATTCTTCTTCGGTCATCTAAAGTTGAAGACGACCGGGCCATGAATGAACCTCGCGCCTTAGATCTAGTGGTGGTGGCGGCAAGGTCGTTCGATGAACTAATACCGTTAAATCATTTGGTATTTCACGAGAAACTAATCTCCTCCTGTATGCGGCGTGAATCCGCACCTGGGCCACGTTTCACTTTCATGCTTCGACTCGCTTTCACATTTTTTGAATATTTAATCAAATGGCCCGTTACGAAAATTGAAGAGACGAAACTAACTGTGGTTTAGCTCAAACTTCGACGCGTGTTGACGAAGAGATGGTCCCAAGTAGAAGGCTATTTCGCAATCCTAGAGGATATATTCCGAAGTTTTCCAAAACAGTGTACCTATGTCTGATAGAATTTGATAATCTACGTTCAGAATATGGGACTTTTCTCAAAAAGCGTGATACTATTTCAACATTTTCATTATCTCTACTGAGGGGCGACTAAACGTTGATTAGATAAATGAGTAATTCTCACAAAACATATAGATTTAAGAAAACTATTACAATATAATATCAGTTCCAGGAAAATAGGTAATTTATAAATATGTTAATTATTGTTATTTCATGTCAAAAGTTGATTAGATAAGTGATTAATTCTGACAAAACAGGTAATTTAAAAATATGTTAATTATTGACATACTATGTCAAAACTTAGTAAGTTATATGATTAATATATACAATAGGTATATATATATATATATA